AAATAAAAGATGTGATCCAAATACTACTCGTGCTCCAATAAAGTAGTTTATATACATAAATGATTACATATATTACATAGAAAAAAACAATTTTGTTGAAGTATCTAAAAATTTGATAAATATAGATCTGGAAATAATTTTGTTGGACTATCATAATTATGTAAGACTTCCAAAGTAATTAAATTTATATCAATTCGATGATATTATCATCGTGCTTAAATGTTCTACATAATTATTTTCATATATCAGTAAAATTATTTTCAAATTTATATCCCGTTAAATTTTTAGACATTTTAATAAAATCGTTTTTTTCCACGTATATGTATATAATTATACTTTTTGTATATACAAACTGTTATTTTATTTTAATTGAAAGTTTAAATATTTACATCTACGAGAAAAATAATTTTAATTTTTTTATTTATTCTTTAACATAAAGGATGCATTAATTTTACACGTAATTAAATTCAAATTGTGATGAAAACTGCAATTATTTTCCGTTAAAATATTAACATAGTATTAGTGTCATCGGTGTATTAATGTCAACACGCCTATTAAAATAATACAAAATTTTGAGTAGACCGTTTAGGATACGCGATATATATTAAACTTAACACAGTTCTTTCATATATTACATTGTTTAGCTCGGGCAAGCAATGATGAAATAATAATCAACAATGAGAATGAAGATAAATTAACATTTCAACAATTAAAAATCTTAATATATTAGTGGAAATAATAGATTACTTTCTATAATACTTTACATACTTTAAAATACATAATAATACAATATTTGATAACTATTAACATAAAAACAATATTTATTCTCTGTACTTTAACAGTTTCTTGTAATTACAACATATTAATTAACGGAACTAAAACTTATTTACGTTTTACCTATTTATATTGTAATGACGTTTCGTTTTGGTATTTTTAACACCGAACGTATTTTCTCACGTAATCCTGACAACGCAAGTTTCGATTTCGGAGCAAGTCGGCAAGTCCCCGCGCTAACAGGAAATGCAGGAAACGTTTTCCAATTTCCACGTTTCATTCCACGTCAGGGACAAGTACAGGGAAGGGTCGGGGAGGGGGGGGAGGGGGTAGAGGCCGATCGATTGGTGGTGCAGTAGCTGCACCGTCACCCCTTCGTCTTCCGTTATCACACTTCGAATTGTGATTCTTTTCCATCCAAAAATCAACACGAGACATGTTAGCACGCGAAACGTTAAGATAAATTAAATTACTAAAAAAGAAAGTCAAAATCAAATTTCTTTGAGATTGCAAAATAAAGTAAAGTAAAACTGCTTCAAGTATAATCGACGAGCCAATCGACATATTCTTTATCGGCTCCTTTTATCGGCGCTACTCGTGTCACAGAAACGAGGGCGACGTCACGGCCATGCCGTCCTGCTCTCTTTCCTTTTCCTTTCTTCCCATTCCTCGTTTCTATCTCCTTCCCGCCGCCCCCGTCCATTAATTAACAGGCTTTGTACTTTTAAACGATGTTAAATAAACGGTATTGTCCGCAGGGAAAGGACTGAAAAGCGGGCGCTATTGTGCTTTAAAGCTCGTTTCTTCGTCGTCGTCGTCATCGTCGTCGTCGTCGTCGTCGTCGTCGTTGTCGTCGTCGTCGTCGTCGTCATCGTTGTTGGCACTAGAAAGAAAGAAAGAGAAGGCGAAGGAGTATTGCCCGCGAATGTCAACTTACTAATACCATCAGGGCCGGGAAGCTTTTGTTCTAAACAAATACGTCGAATACTCCATCACCCCCGCCACCCATTTCTCACTATCCTCCTCTCTTGCTCGATCATGCCACCTGCTTTTCAGGCGGGAAAACGGTATATCGATCGTAAACGTACGATTGGATAAGCCATAATATAAATAGAAAGCGGGACTAACCCCTTCGCACTACCGGAAGTCGATTCGGCTTCTTGATTCGATAGTCAATTTCACGCGGTCCGTGAGTCAACAATACGGGCCGTCATATTTCAAATTCTTATTTCTATTGTAAATCGCAAAAAGCGGTAATACGACTAATTTCTTTACTTTAAAAAGCTTATCTTTTTGAAATAAATGATGGATGAAATTATTCTTTAATAGCAATAAATCACAAAATTCTCACACCTCACCTTACACTCACAAAAATGTTTACTGATTCAGCTAGAATGTTAATTTTAAATGTTAAACAGTTAAAATGTATTGTTGTTTTTTTTTATATCTGCTAGAAAATTGTCTGTCGTATGTAGAATTTATAGCAGTAGCATCTAACAATATGCAAGAAAATTTAGATTTCATAATCAAATCACACAGTCATTTTTATAAGAGGTGTGAGTGACTATTATCTGATTGGTCGTTATACAGAGACTTTCTTATTAAATTTGACAAATTGTTCAAATATAAATTCTGTCAAATATATCGATTAGATACAAAACATATGCAATGCTTGCCATTTGTCATTTATATATTTAGCTAATTTTTCGTATTTAGATAATTTTCACTGTGACTGCAAGACATTTTTTTTTCAGTATATGAGTTTCGAAAAATGTTACGTATTAAGAATAGTAATTCGATCTCAGTACGATCCTAGTTTGATCTCCAGACTGCCGCTATCAGTTCGCTATTGTTTCGAAAGACAGAAACGTCGGATTCTCATCCAGCGCTTGCCGATACCTTTCTTCAGGGTTCATTGTGCGTCACCACGTATCCGTATTGTTCAACAGTGGATGTGCTCCGTTGTTGTTAGCAGACAGCAACAACAACAGAAGGAATAGGGGATTTGTGGGGTTCGCTGTAAATCCTCGGCACCTTACGTTCTTATCAGTTTCTATTGCTTCCGTCTCTATTCCCTTGTACTGCTCTCTTTCTTTCGATCGTTTAGTTGTGCGGATATTATTTTCTGAAAGTGATATTAGAAAATCATCCTTAATAATGATTTGATAATTTAGAAGAATTTTTACAACAAATAGGTAGATATAACAGTAGATATAATAGGTGGTTATAATAGATATCTGAAGATATATTCAAATATAGGAATAAATAACAGTCATTTATTGGTCATCTTTAGCGTCTAATAATCTTTTTTATTTTTAAGTTTATATAAAATTCAAGATTTGTTCTCTTTTGCCATCAACTGTGTGCCGTTACTTTTAAATAACTTTTAAATAACAGACTTACCACGCAATGGGCAATAATTTTTAATAAGTTTAGGCTTTATTTGAATTTTTATTTAAATGATTCAAGCCTCTCTGTAAAATCTCATTTAATTCCGTCTATCTTTTTTTCCCTTTCTTTCTCTTTTATCATTTTCTATCGAGAATTTTTATCCCACTCAAAAGAAACTTCGCATCCTGTTGGTCGTTCAGAATATTACTTGCTTTCTTTCCTTTCTTCCGGCAACTTCTTTTTCACTCTCCATCGTGTCCGGTAATCTTGACCAAGCTACATAAAAGGAGAGGAAGATATTAAAGTCCTCGTGCGAAACTTGAAGAGCACGAAAAAGTCGCTCTTGGCGACTTCACGACCGGTTTATTTTGAACAAATCCCGGATTAAATTTGAGCCTCGAATTGAGCTATCTCGTTTGACGACAATAATAAAAATAAATTCTCTCCGTGCATTCTCAAGGTAATTAACATTGGCACTACTTGCGTAATTTATGTCGATTTTTTTTATAATAAGACTCGAATCTTTCTTAAGAGAGCCAAGGGTTTATTTATTCTAAGTATTAGAGTTTAAAAAAATCGAAGGGACGTAAATATTCACAAACCGGATATTCCGGATTTCATATTCGGTCTTTTTATAACAATTCTCGCTATCAAGTTCTCTCAGCGAAATCAATCTTCAGTAAACAGCTGCGAGCTTCGCAGCGTCGCGACACCTACGTCTCGTCGTGGCGGCCATTGTTGGCAGCGTCGCGATGCAAACCCCGGGTGCATTGTGCCGCCGTTGCATTAGCCTCGGCGTTGGGGTCGGTGTCGCACCTCGCTACCAGCGGGTTCCGTTTCTAGAATACCAGAACCGGGGCTTTACGCTTTGTGCTCGCCTCGACGGCCAACAACAAGTGGTAATTAATTCTGTGCAAAACAATCAGCCCGTTGGTACGGTAGAGGGGGATGCAGAGAAAAAGGAGGCGAAGGAGTTAAAAACGATTCGCGATTTACCCCCTTCCGTATCTTCTACCAATAAGGTTCATCACGGATTCTGAAAACGTATAAACATGAATCGTCGTGGCATACGAATACGTGAAACGTAAAACGAAATGCCGAAAAAAAAAGTATTACAATAATTAAGCATGTAGTTTTAAACTTAATAATTTTAAATACTTAATATAAAATATTTAAATTGGTTTGTACGTTTCTTTCCTTTCAATAAAGATATTAATCTTTTGTCAATACATAAATGATAATACAGAGTGCTAATTTTCTTTATATTTAATGCGTTGCCATAAATGATTTCTCTTTAAATATTTGTTAATCAAATTTCTGAAACCAGCAGTTCTCAAATATTGATTTTTAATGTTTCATGTATTAATCATTGTTTAATATCTGAAGATAATTGCAAGACATAACGTCATAAAACGAATTATTCAATCAATTAATTTGTGAATATAAAAAAGAATTAAAATTACTGAAATTAATGAAATGAGATATAAGAAGAATTTAAAATTACATTAATGAAACGATCGATTTATTTACTACCCAACTAAACCATAAATATGTGACCGGAAAAATGTATCTATCTTAAACTTACAATTGAAAAATTTGATAAGAAGTACAAATATTGTTGTATTAGCGGTATATTCTAACAGAGCAATCTTTCTTATTATATAAAGTTAATATAATAATAGTAATAAGTTTTAAATATATTATAAAAGTATTATAATAAGAAATTTATTGATATAAGCACATTACCTACATATTGATTAGTGGTTATTTTCTCTGAACATTTCTTTAACATGCGTCTTTATACTTTTATTATAAATAAAAATAAAAATCGCTAGGTGCAGAATGGAAACTCCTCACAGAGGACGAGAAACGCCCATTCATTGATCAGGCCAAGAGGTTACGTGCTCAACACATGAAGGAGCATCCAGATTACAAGTATAGACCACGAAGAAAACCGAAAACGCTGCGGAAAGAGGGGTACCCTTACAGTATTCCGTATCCGAGT